TGGAGAGTACATACTAGTCACACGTACAACTTTTGGTTGCCTATTTAAGTAGTCCGCTTATTACTAAGTTCTACAAATTTAAATATTGATAAGATTAATAAATGCAAAATAAATATAAATTAATATATATTATAGTATTATTTGTAAGCATGCTTTAAAATATTATTCAATTAAGTAAATAATTTGTGTGCTTATAAAATCAAAGGCTAATGAACAAGAATTAAAGGTTGGTTATTTTAAAGAGACGATCATTAGAATTAAGTATTTAAAAACATCTAATCTGTATTAGTATCATCATCATATTTATTGTTATTGCTATTGCCTTTATCATCGTCTTCGTCGTCTTCATCGTCTTCATTGTTTTTGTTATCGTCTTCATTATCGCTTTCATTATCGTCATTTTCATTATCATCGTCATCATCGTCATTTTCATTATCGTCTGAATCATCACTTTCATTACTGCCTTCATCATTATCATCGTTTTCTTTATTATTTTCAATGTTGTTTTTGCTATAAACAATTGACTTACACTATTCTGGACAGTCATCAGGAGATACACAGTTTAGATCAATGTAGCTTTTATTTCACTAACGGTAACGTTCTTCTTTTTTGGTTGCCCTTTTTTTGCTGTTTCTTCTACATAATGTAGAAGTTTATATAACTGAAAATAAAAAATCTTATCAAGAAAAGAAATAGAACAACCGTACATAATCCATAAAATACTGTACTTTATTAGATCGCTATAGAATATCTATCACTTTAACCACATGATAATTTTCACCTGACTTCTTTTCTTGAACTTCATGCTTTATTTCCTTTTGATATAACTCTTTATTGGTCTCTGATATTTCATCTGAATGGTAATCGGCATTATCTAAAATAACTTTAATATCAGTTAATGCTTTAGTTTATTCACGTGAATCGAAGTATTTTTTTCAAAAAGTATCCTTATTCTTTATCAAATAGTTAAAACCGATACAACGATATTTTTCTTTTTATATTAAAAAATATTAAATAAAGATAAATACTTATTTAGATAAAAAATTATAGGATATAACAATATACCGCTTGTCTTCTTTGGTTGGTGTGATGTCTCGATCATTTGGCTGTAATTTTTTTAACATCCTTTTTGTCTTTATTATGTTCACGTTGATGCCTGTATCGCTCTTAAATAATTTTAATGATTTCTGACTATGTGTATTTGAACTGATCTTTTAGTGCTTTCATAATTCTAGGAAAAATATTTTAGATGAATAGTTTTTTTTGTGAATCTCACATCTTTTCTAGATCGAGAATATCAGACTCATCGAATCCATCTATTATTACATTAATTTCATTTTGCAAAATATATATATTTGTTAGACAATATCTGGAATCATATTTTTTAAGTAAATATAATACCCTCAACTTTTGTTTATATTTTTTTGACATCGATAGAATTTTATTTCTATTCATTTTAGTTCTTTTTTTTTTTACAACTTTTGTTGATCGTCTTGATAATACTGATGATGAATCCGATGAATCATCGTTATTCACATCATATCCTGATAATTTCTTGAGAACTTCTTTGATTTCAATAATGTCTTTTTTTAATTTACTATTTAAAAGTTATAAATTATAAGCATTATGTATATTTATCTATTATATAAATAGATATTTATCAAACCCTTTTTTTGCTTCTTGTTCATAAATTTATTCTGAGAACCGTGACAATAGTATTTTTTTCTTTTTTCTTTACCAGACTTTGGTAAGCTTGCTTTATCCGAACTGGAATCAGAATTTAGACTTTTGAGTTGTAACATTATGGCTTCGATAGATCAATATTAAATTTTAAATCATTTTTAGTGAATACTTTTGAATATATATTTTTAGGTAAAATATTTGCAAAAGTATTCTTTCACGAAACTGTATTTATATATCCTAATAATATTTTGATGACGCTATCATCACAATAACTATTGGAGTTAAAATTCAATATTTTGGGTCTCGATTTACTATAATAGAAATCGACTTATAATCTTGTTATTGTTTTATTAAATACATCATTAAGAAATGTATCTCTGAATCTTGAATTATTTTTTAGTACTTTAGAAGATTTTTAATCTGCTTAACCCTAAGTTAGTGTATGCTGTTTTATGAATTTATTTATGTTTAAAGGAACTGTCAATTTGTTTTCTCAAATTAATATCCAAAGTTTAAAATCTATATATTATAACTTAAGGATGGCCACAATTAAAAAATAGATTTTCAAATCTTGAAATTTAGACAAAGTTCAATAACTTGACTTTAATAAATAACCCTTATTGAAAAGCAACTATAAGTTTTATTAATAGCACTTGAAAAAAATTCTTTTAAAAAAAGCAACAATTTCATTAAAACTGGCCTAGTCCTGAAATCACGACCCCAACACCATATTTTAAAAGATTTTAAACATTAGAAAAGTTCTTTTCATTTACTGTATCTTTAATGAGTAACTCTAGTTAAAAAAATATTATAACTCTATATAATTAACAACTTGTGTTAAAAATAAAATGTTATCTTGCTTAAAATGCTTAATGATATTGCTTATTATTATGATTACTTTCGATATGTGAAAACTCATTCACAATGCTTTCAAGAACATACTTCAGTAATGGTAGTCAGTAATTTAGCTCAAACTGAAGTAGATATTTTTATTTTAATACTTAGAAACTTTGTTTATGAAATGATTTTTTAAATCTTACCACTAATCAAACTTGTTAATAATACCATTTCGATTAAGTTACTTAGTACAGAAAATTAATCTAATCTATTTTTAACAAGTTATTTGAAAACTTCTTTATGTTAAACAAAACAAGATAGCATCGCTAAGATAAAAAATCATCTCTAAAACTAACAACCTCTTTGGGACTAATTCTATTATAATCAATTAAAATGAAAGAACAAGTCTGGTCTCAATTATTAAATTGTATACAAGCCAATTTGGTTCAAGTGGAGGATAGCTAAAGCCATATACACAAGTAATTTTGAGATTTAATTAAAATTAGAGCTAGTGCCCAGATATATTGGTAAAATTGCCTCTTCGACATTTCTTGTTAATGCTCCAAGACAAGTTTAGACTATCGTTTTTTATATTTTTATTTTCTTTATTTTTTAATTCACGATCCTGATTGGTTGATTTACACAAAAAAGTCATGGGTATATGGCTTTAAACGACCCCCATGTAGTAAAATAAAGAACTTTAATTAATCGTAACAAAAGTCTTGTGTAATTTACTTTTAGCAAAGCCACAATAGTTTATTTGTCATGTATACTAGCAAATAGGAATTTTGGATTATTGGTTGGTAATTAACTTCGATGATGCTACTAATAATGATGTGTGATTAGTAAATTAATTAAATAGTATATTGTATAGAGGGTTGCTTAGTAATAAAGCTGTAATAAACTATCGCTTTATTTAGTTGTGTTGTATATTTTTTCAAATTTTTCAAAAAAATTTTATTAAAATAGATAATCCTAGAACACAGAAACCTGAAATATGTAGTTGCAAAAAATGCAAAGAGAAAAAGAAAAAAGATCCAAGAACTATAAAAAACTATTTAAAAAAATATGGCATCTACCGGTCTTTTGAATCAACACCAAATTTAAATATGCTATTAATGTCCCAAATTCTATTAGAAATAGCAGAACAATCTGATATTATAACAGAAGATATTAAAATAGATTTTTTTGACAATTCGTTTAGGCTACGTTTTCTTGTAAAAAAGAAAAATAAAGAGAGCCAATTAATATTCAAGCCTAATAAGCCAAAAGAAATTTTTAGTAAAGATTATGATTTGTTTATTGAATCATATGATACTTTGAATAGTGATCAAGATTATAAAGAGAATGTAGAATTATCCGATCCATCTTCGAATGATAAAGATGTTAAATTATTTGAATTTTCTTCAGATGAAGAAGATATTCTCAAGGATAATCAAATATTTACAGCACCTACCTAATGTGCCTAATTATGAGTTAAATGAAACAACAGAAAATATAGAAAAAAACTTTAAATGGATAATAATGTGAATCTTTTGTTACCAGCAGAAATGTCGGCTTAATGAAACCTATACAAAAATTTTATTTAGGTTTATTAGATACTTACTAATTTCAATTAAAAAAAAAATATTTGAATCTTTTCACTGTCTCTTTATTTAGCATGTAAGGCTTTAAGAATATGCCCTCATCTTAAAAAATATGCAGTATGTTCATTATGTCATAAACTATATCGTTCGCAAGACATTTCTACAACAAAATTAAACCAATATCCAATATACAAAGAGTGTCAACATGTCAAATATCCTTTACATTCTATGTCAAAAATGAGAAAACAATGTAGAAATCTACTAGCCAAACAGGTCCCTATTAAAGGTGGATTAATATATCGACCAAAAATAATTTTTCTAATTATAAGTATAAGGAATCAATTACAATTAATGTATAATCATAAAGGGTTTGAAAAGTCATTGCAGAAATGGGCGAGTCGACATGTTGATGAAGATATCTTAGCTGACATATACGATGATCAGGTTTGAAAGGAATTTGAGGATAATAATAATACTTTTTTTAATCAAGAACATGCTGATAGCCATCTAGGTATTATGCTAGTTTCAGCCTTTTGAAAACTCTTCATATAGTGTCAGTGCTTTGTATGGTGCGATATGCAACTTACCAAGGGAAGAGTGTTTTAAACCTTATAATATTATAATCTTTGCTCTTTTACCTAGTCTAAAGGAAGTATCAACACACAAAATTAATCATTATTTAGCTCCCATTGTGAATGAACTTCTAGAGTTATGGAATGGTTATAAACTATCAAGAACATATAAACATTCAACTGGTAAAATAATTCGTGATGCTATAATATACTGTACGTGCGATATTTCTGCGACATGAAAATTATGTGGGCACATATCAGCGCGTGTAGCATGCTATCGATGTGAAAAATATGCTAATTTTATTAATAATCAACCCAATTTTGGTGGGTTTGATGATTATGAAGAATAGTTCATTGAACGTGATTTTGAGAAGGCTAAGCTTGATGCACGTGCATGGCTTCAATATCAAATGGAGGAACAATGGAAAAAACATATATCTGGAACATTAGTACGCTAGTCAGATTTATATCGACTTCCGTATTTTAATATAATTAAATTTTTAATTATTGATTCTATGTATTATTTGTTTTTGGGAGTAGCTAAATAGATAGTAATGAAATTATGGATAGAGAAAGGAAAAATTACTGCGAAAGATCTTAAAATTATGAATGATAGAGCAAAAAATATACAAATCCCTAGTGATATTGGTAGAATTCTGTTTAAAATTGATACAGGAGATGGGTTTTCCAATTACACTGCTGACCAATGGCGTATATTTATTATGTACTATGCAACTAACATTTGTTGAGATATTTTGTCACATTTTGACAAATGTATTTTAACAAATTTTGTACACACGTGTAATTTATTAGTATGCCAAATTGTAAAAAAAAAAGATTTAGAAGAAGCATATGAGAGATTATTAAATATAGCCAAGCTTATCGAAAGTAACTATGGTCCCGAGAAGATTAATCCAAATATTCATCTTTTGTTACATATAGCTGAGTACTGCATTAACTATGATCTTCTTTACTCATTTTGGTATTTTTCATTTAAAAGGCTAAATGGATTATTGGGTAAATATTAATTTAGTAACTTTGTAAAATTTTTTTTATATCAGTGTTAATTAATAATCTTATTGATTAATATAGGCTCATATCATACTAGCCAAAGAAATATTGAGCCTGAACTTATAAAAATTATTTATCATAATATGCAGCTTAATAAAATAGTATCTCATTGCAAATATTATTTAAGGCTATCAGAATCTTTAGCTTTATTAGAAAAATATAAATCAGTAGCCGTGTCAAATGATATGAATACTCATGATCTTCAACATTTTATTAAATTTAGAGAAATTATTGATCAAAAAGTCACATATAGTACAGAGCCTATTCCAGGATGCATGCTTAAGCCTAAACAAGATAATATTCAAATTCCTCTTGATATTTTTAAATTACTTGTCGAATATTATAATAATGCATATGACATGTATTTCATAATGCTAGTAGATTTTGTTCTTGGTTCTGATCAAGTTGTAGTATATCCAATGATGGATCAATATAGAAGAATTCAGTTAGAATCCGAAGTGTTTGGATCGATATATTCAGAATAGCATAAAAAATCTTCACGAATTTTAGCAAAATTTTTTGCTAAAGATGATGAATCAATTGATTTTTATCCTGGCCAGGTACAATTTTATTTTAAACACACTGTTTTAAAGCAAACTCATCGGCTAGCATTTGTTAGGTAGTACAAATATGCAGAAAAATATCAAAATTATCATTTTCACATGAGGATAGATAAAGATGATGATGAAAGCTGTAATGTTGAGCTTTGGAAACATGATTATACTGAATTAGGAAGTGATTGCATTATTCCTGTACACAATGTATATTGTAGGTTTATTCCAGGAATATATAATATTGGTAAAAAAAAGTCATATTCGTATATGGCAGTAATACTCATAAATCGAAAATATAATTTATAATTTTATTGTACGTAAGAAACTTTTGATAAAAAAAGTTAATTTTCTTAAATGCTATTATTATTCTTGTAGCTATAATTAGTTATTTTCTTTTTGCAATAGTATAATATATTTAACGTTAATGTTTTATTATTTTCTGTTTATAATTGAAGTGCTGTCTTTTAAAAAGTTATAAATAGTAATTTTAGTAATATTTTCCTTTCATACGAAAGTTGCAGTATAACCAATATGAACTCTATCTAGTATTTAATCCGTTCGAAATATGATAAAAACACATAAAAAATTCCTTGCAAGTGGTAAAAAATGTTCTTATAATATTGAGAATAAGCTAAAAAGGCTACAAAAAAAATATAATATTTGATAAGCCTTTTTGAACAATTCACTAAACTTAGAATTCTAGGTATAATTAGAGATAGACCACTACGCAAGCGGAATATTTTGGAAGGCCAGAATATGCTGGAAACTACTAAAATTTAGCAATTTTGGCCCGTATTAGCCATAATACAGGTCCATGCAGGCTGCGCAGCCTGCGCGGTATTTTCAAAAAATCATCAATTTGCCTATTTCTAGATATAATATATTTATTTTATAATAATTATTACAAGTCAACATATTGCCAAAGTTATGGACCAAAATAACTGTTCTTACATCAAGCAAATAGATAACTTTTTCGAATCAAATAAGTACTCATTCTATTTTTTTTACCTTTTGTAATATTTACTAATACTCTTAATTTACCCTTGCAGAAGGTTTAAGTCTTAGGTCATGATCGAATTCTTAACTTATTACAAGATCGTGATAAGAAAATCAAGAGAGCTATCACCTACAGGACAAATTCGATAGCTTTAATAATTTTTGAGATTTTGTGATTTACGATATTTACAAGTTTCATCAAATTTGTAAATGAATGTCACCATATTCAACAGTAACAAAAAATTTTAAAGCATGTTAAAAAAATGATTGAGTTAGCATTATAGGTTCAAAACTATACCTTAAGCGAATATATTTCATATATAACAATATTTTGGAAAGCATAACAGATTCTAAGCCTTTATTTTTTAACTAAATCTACTGAAACTATTACTTTCGAATATGTTGGGTGTTAGAAGATTAATCAAGTTGTGAATTGGCTACAGGAAAATAACTTTAAAGAATATCAAAAACTTTTTACAGATATTAACCCTATTGATCTTACTAGGCCATTGGTTTTTCATTATAATGTGATTTAAATAATTTTTAATATTAACGTTATGTTAGATAATATTAACGGAGATATGATTTTGAAATTAAATCATGAGGCTCTTAGAGAATTGAAGATTAAATTGATTGTTGATCATGTAAGACTCTTGAAACAATAAGGCGACTTATGAAAGTTTGTGCTAAGAATAAGTATACTCTATAGCTAGATATCCTGAGGTCTGTCTTATCATTGTTTGTACATATTATTAAATTGTACTAACTGAGAGTTCTGTAATTCAAAATTCTTCCCTCTATCGAATTTTAACCACTATTATCAAGAGTTCTCTAATTACAGTGAGTTGTATTATATAAGTACAAGACTAATAAAAAAAAAGGTTATAATCGAAAAAATATCTTTTTAACATTCAGTTAAATTTAAAATTTGGAAAATTTATAATATACTGCTACAAAGAATGATATTATTGTAACAATTTCTAATCAAAGGTATGATAACTGGTCGTTCTACTTATTTCAATAATATAAATTGATAATAATTAAATGTGTAGTTTAAACAACTAGAACTATGCAATATTACTATATAATGCTTCAGGGATTTGATACCAATAAGATATGTTCTTTTATTATCTTTGTTCATGTAAAACATCTGTCGAACATGCTTGAATGTATTCAGTATTCTATTTATATTTTGTTTTTAGGTAAAGTAGAACAGTGAGTTAGGGTCAATTCAGATTTACTCAAATTCGAATTATCATCCAGATATGCTAACAAAAATCTGAATTTAATTAGAATAGCTTCTGAAAATAGGATCAAAGCTCTAATATGAATAGAATCACTCAAAATATTATAAGCTAATGAATTAAAAATAATAGAAATTCAACATTGGATTTTCAAGTTTCTCTTGGCATTTGATTGTCACGGTCTGCTAATTTGTAGATCGCTATACACCCCAATTGCATGATTATAAGGTGCATTTTGGCCAAAGATTCAATATAAATATATTATTTTAATAGAATTTGTTAGCCAGATTTGTTTGCTAAAAATCACTATAGAATCGCACAACCGAATAATAATCAAGTGATTGTTTATTAGTATATAGGTATGCAGTAATAAATAGACAAGTATTTTTGGCCTATCATAAAGTAACAAAGCCAATATTATTTGAAATTCAGTAATT